GAGGGGAACATTTCCAGTAAAGATTTTGTAGAGTACCCTGCAAAAACGCTGATAAAGATCCTCAACGGTTGTGCAGTTTTCGAAAAAATTGTACCAATCACTTATTTCGAGAGCTTTATTGATTTCCAGAAATGCTGCTTTCTAGGTATGAAATGAAAAGTCCTTTACTTTCACTGGATATAGCTTCAGACTTAACCACATTATGATCTGAAGAGTCGAAAGGTGGGAGACTTCAACATTTTGGATTACATGTTGGGAAGAGAATTTGGATTACATGTTGGGAAGAGAATATCAGATCGATCGCTGAGCTCCCCTTAGTGGAAATGCCACATGTTGTTAAGGATCAGAATCTTTCAAGCAAGAAAGGAACTGTCTATGGGAGACATTAGGAGTGGGTAATCCATGTTGAAATCACCCAAAATATAGTAGTGATAGGGAAAGTACGCAGGTCTTGAATAATAATTGTTAGGCTGAGATCACAGCTAGAATTGCAAGAGGTAGGACGGTAGACAATAATGAAACGTAATGGCGAGAGAGAAAATCGAAACCAGAGATTGACACACGAAATCTCCCACTTTTACTCGTTTCCCATTTTCCTATTTTCCCACTTCCCATTTTACCACTACTACTAGCGACTCTCCTTCAAACATCTGCCCTTTTCATTATCCTGTTCGCAATACACACCCCAACACTTGTCAAACTAAATATGCAGGAATCTTCTCACATTGAATTTTATTGGTGGCGCACATCCCAACTGTTAAAAAATGACTGTTCCTTATTGAAAAAAAACAAGGTGAAGACATTGTATATTAGCGGTAAGGCACCGTGAAAATTTACAGCTTGAGTCTCATCCCTGTGTTGTAAAAATAAAACTCCTCGTACATTTTGTATTTTTTGAGCAGCGGAAAAAGCTCCTCGCTCTTTAAACAATTACGAGCTCTCAATTCCAAAAACTTCTTGGCTCGTAAGTCAGTTCAAAAGGTTCAAACTCTGTCCTGATAAGCCATCCGCATTTTGTTTCTTGAGAACCAGGAAAGTCAGTAGTTCACCTAAATCACTTTGCTTTGCTCAGCGAATTTTAATTGTAGTTTCGTAAAGTTAAGTTGGTGCATAAACAATGTCCGCTTTGCAAAATTTTACTTTGACAAGTTATAGGTTTGTCAAGTCTTCATATTTTTGAATGCAAAACCATCAGAAGCAGTAAACCTTTCGTAACCTAGCGCGCATGCGCTTATACTAAAATCGCAAACGAGAAGAGAACCATGCGCCAAAAACCCAAAGGTTTTTCTTCTGAAAACCCCGTTAAGAGAGGCAACTCCCTTCAAGTTTTGCTTACAGTCGGCAATCAGCTTATTTTGTATCTGCAAGTTAGTAGTATATGAGCGCCCAGGGAAAATTCAAAGAAGGAGTTCTGCAAAAAAAGATAGAAATCAAAATTGTTCCCTTTTGAGCCTATTTGCGTGCTCGAATGCCTCAATCTATAGAAATTTGGAATTCTTCATGCACTGAAGAGCAAAAAAATTTTTTGCAAAAATTGCAGGCAAGATTTCCTAATGTTAAGCTTACAGAATTGGGCGAAGCTTTTGCGATTGCCTTACCACGGGAAATTGTTGATCCATAGAGGGCGAGCAGCTAGTACCCGTTATTTCAAAGTTTCGATTTCTCCGTCCAGATATTTTCAAAAAATATGCTTAAGCATGCAATAGGTAGACTGTATCTATCTCACACATTATCTACGTTTTCAAAAAAGCGTTTACCTGCGCCTGATTGTGGCCAAGAAAGTGAAAACAATAAAATTTTGATTTCGAGTGCCGGCATGCAAATTGCTGTGAAAATTTCACAGATGAGGGTAGCTGCCTAATTGCAGCACTTTTGGAAAGTACATGAAGAAAGCTTTCCAATATTATGCAAAGTCTATATCGAAAAAGAAAGTTCAATCGAAAGAAGTTATTCGCAATGTAGGCCTAGAAAAACGGACATTATTTTTGCATCAACCTAATATTATGACCTTAAGCTTCTGTTCAATCATCAGTATCGAACTTGATATTTGTGCTAAGCCATTGTGAGAAACAGTGAGTTTCAAATAGATAAGCGCATCGTTTTTGGCTATTTAGCTGAGAAGGGACAGCTGCTTCTGCATCAAATTGTTTAATGGGTGATATGATATTTAAATATAATAGTAATTAACCAGACTTCCACTTCTTCTTTTCAAGGTTGATGTCGTGCTGTATGAATTGCTGTCACACAGCTAAATCAAACTCATTCTATTTTAGTATCACTCTGCTTTGATAATCAACTTCTAGTGTTTCTTTCAAGGAACTTCGACACTATTCGGCTGCGCAATGAGTGCTAGAATTGATGGTAAACGCATAATCATTTGTTCATTTATCAACCTGCAGCCAGTCTCTAAGCTCGTTGACCTCGATCACACGAAGATCGGTAAAAATCATATAATTCTACCAGAACTGGACTGAGTATAAGTGCAGTGGCGGTAGCGGGTTCCGTCGGGATGGGGGGGGGGGGGGGAGAGAGAAGGCAACAAAATTTGTTTCGAATGATGGTGTGTGGCGTTCGCCACATACTCCGAAATTTTTTTGGATGCTTTTTAGAGTTTTGCGACCCCTCTTCCCCCCTCCTCGGTCGCAACTGATATATGCCTATTTCACGGAGACATTTGAAATGTTGATGATGTATTTGTATGTGTTTTTAATATGTTGTATCATCTGCATTGTATCAGTATTGATATGAGATGTATAGGCTATGTCACTCGGGGGTCATAAACAGATACTTACTGGCTATGCCGTTGAGAGATGCGAATTCCGCGCTCCCGCGTCGTTTGGATTTTTTTCAACACGTTTTATGTTTGTTTTCCCACGTCTAATAAGTAATAGAAGTTTGCCTCTGAACTCTTCTCGCGCTCGACGTGGAACAATATCGAACGATACATTCACGCGGAATTTCAGCCTCTCGTTAAGGTGCTATGGGAAGTGAGTATATCGCCTGACGACAAGTTGTAAGGTTCCTCAACGCAGACTTCGCACGCGTCACACCATCCCATTGATGATTGTCACAGACGCAAAATCACATGACCGCTCAGATCTGACACAGCCTATGATCTCATAACATATGTGTACGATGCACTAGCTCGCTGCATAAACTTGTCCTGATTTGGTTCTTTTGTATTCAAATCAGTGTTGATGCCTTGTGTCTGTTCTAAGAGATTTTTACCCCCAATCCGACCTTATTTGTATCACTAGAAAGCGCTTTTTTTGCTCTTTTTGATACGTATCAAATTTCAACAAAATCTCAGGCGAGATTGCAGGCCTAGAATTTTAGGGAGCCGAGGTGCGGTCTCACCTAACATATGTCCATACTGCGCCGCTCTAGTCAACTCCTTGTATTGGTCATGGAATAAGGTGGAACAGACCACTGTTAGGGTGAACGGAACTGGCGAGCACCTTGATTTTTTGAACATTTTCAAAATCTCTTTCTGATTAACTATAAACAGAGAGCAATCTGAACGCTTTTGTATAAAGCTGCTTCGTGGAAGTCAGACAAACTTTTTAAACGCCATCCGGACTTCTGCTGCTGTACTCCAAAGTTCCCGGACCATTCGAAAGTGCTTTCCAAGCTCTTTCTAATGATCACTCAGATATGCAGAAATTCTTTGTTATTCTGCATATAAGAAACAGATCAGGCAAAAAAGTGCGATATCTGGCGCAGAGTTCTAGTCTAATAAACTTGTTTTGTTCCACATTTGTTCCAAAGCCTAAATACTAGAAAAGGGAGCGTGGTGGTAGCCATGCCCAGAAAAGAACTTCTTTACAAGGCTAATTTGAATTTTTAGAAAATTTAAAAACTTTAAGTTTGCAAGGATAAAAAAGTCTTTTTCACATTTTTTACAGCCCATGTAAGTATATTTTAAAAATTTCGCGCTGCTAGCTGCTATGAACTGAATTGTACTACAAAGATTTCTTTACGCAAACCATTGTTTGAATAAAAAAAATGACGCCAAAGTGAAGTTGTCTAGGAGCAAGTAGAGAGTGATTAAAACAAGAAAGTGAAATTTTAGAAAACATTTTGTCAGTATGTAGAACGAGTCTGCAAACATAGTTCATTCCTTCTTTCTAGAAATAAAGTCATTATTAGCACGTTAGTTCTAAAAATAACCAAGGCTTACTTTGCAGCCCATGTAATCAACTTTTTTAAAGCCGTGTGCTAAGCAACACCGAAGAGATGAGCTAGCTATCTAATGACGCAAAAGAAAATATGAAGAATCTTTGGGAAGCCATTAGAACTTGAATTTAGCATCCGAGGTTGTATGATCATATAAGTGTACGACGAGATGTGTTCCCGAAATCTATCAAAAAGCAGAATTCTCTGGATTTAATTTTTCACATATAAGTTTAGTTCAACTTTGCTTGCGCCTAAGAGGTAGAAGTTATGGATGGAAATAAAAGGTTAATACAACTAAATGGCAGAGCTGGCTGAATCACAAATCTTGGAGATTCAGAGGCTAAGACTTACCGCGCCTGTTACACCTTCACATGAGAATATGGTTAATCTAATGAGCGGAAGAATGTATTCTGGTCAAGTTATTGTTTCAAATGTGGCATAAAGTGCATTTTCGTTGACAGTTTCGTCACTGCCCCATATGAATCTACAGTTTAGTCTTCCACGCTAACATAGAGATTTCTTGCTTCAAGACTGTGACCAGGCTTAGAATCATTTTAGTGGCAAAAAGGGTGGAAATTCGCACATGTTATGCATGCATAATACAGCAACTCCGTTAAGAGAGAAAATTTCATTCTCGATTATATATTCTAGCTTTTTGTCCATTGCTCCATTATCTTCATGACTGACGACCTTTGCTAATTTTCAACCAAAACCCATGCGACAGTTCTATAACTCCTGTACAGAAGCACTTTACCGGGCGGCGAATTTGACGAATTCTTCGTTGATGATTGCAGTGTGCTGGAGGTATATGCAGAGGAGCATACCTGCAATGCAACGGATAGCTGGTTCCATGGACTGGCTCCAAAACGGTATTCTATACCAACATTCTTCCGGGAAGTAAGCTCGACCTTTCGTTGGTGAAAGAATACGAAAATTTAAGTGTTGTTTATTTTTGATTCTTGTATAATCTTTCTCAGCTTGTCCTCCTTCGTAAAGAAGTTATTCCCATAAATGCATCAAGCAGAACACAGTCATTACTTCTTTGACCCGCACTCTTACATACCCGTAAGATGCGGGGTAAAGGACGAGGGAGGTTGGTTGGTCGCTCTTTGAGTACTTTAAAAGGGCGGAGCACCGCTCATCAAAACTGTGGGGTTGGATTGAGTTGTTCGCAATTGGCCAAAGGTTCAGGCCTCATATGAATAACATAGTTTGGGCAAATGTTAACCTTTTAACCGAAGTGCCCGGGTTTTTTAACTGCCCCTGCTCGGTATCGATCGTGGAAGCAAGTAATTGAACACTTGAGAAAGACAAGATTTTCGAGCTGTTTAGCCTTTCGAAAGCTCACACTATTACATAGTGTTACTAGCTGGCTTACCCGGCTCCGCCGTATGTTCCGAATAGAAAATTCCATTTCTTAACCGATCCGGACCAAGCTTGGCACACATACCCTTCGGGCCCCGGCGGGTGTCACAGTCCACTTTTCGTTATCGATTGATGTCGATTTTATCGATTTTTTGCAAAATTTGAGCTACGGGGCTGGGAGTTGGCAGAGGGGTGTAATCGAGCATGCCGATTACGAATACAATATTAGTTTTCGAAACCGTGCATTACTTTTATCGATTTTATCGACTTTTTGCAAAATTTGAGCTAGGGGGCTGGAATTTGGCAGAGGGGTGTAATCGAGCATGCTGATCACCCCCGTGGGGGTGATCAGCATGCTCGATTACACCCCTCTGCCAACTCCCAGCCCCGTAGCTCAAATTTTGCAAAAAATCGATAAAATCGACATCGATCGATACGAAAAGTAGCCTATGACACCCGCCGGGGCCCGAAGGGTATGTGTGCCAAGTTTGGTCCCGATCGGTTCAGAAATGGAATTTTCTATTCGGAACATACGTACATACATACATACATACAGACATACAGACAAACAGACATTCAGCTTTATATATAAGATAATGTCTCACTGATACAGTGCAATCGGACGGATAAAATGAACTCCCATTGATCTAATTCAACTAATTTACCGTTTGAACGCAGCTGAAGCGAAAGTTGACACCACGCACAGTGAAAAAAATGTGCATTGAGTACTATGACATGCACTTTAATCAGCACTTATTTATTCAGATAATTGCATTACACGTGCAATGCATGTTTCGATGTAACATTTATCACAGTTTGTACAAGTGCAAAGCAGATTCACGAATAATATCGTCAAGAATTATAATTACATGAGTGATACTTTAATCTTTTCCTACAAGGGACGTAACTTACAAGGGAACCGTGTCGAGTCGAAGTGGCCTTTCCAGTTGAGACCCATACTGCTTTGAAGAGCATCAATCGGTGATTCCAAATCTGCTTTCCAAATCTGCCAAGCGCCTCTGGACGCCGAGTTATGCTCGTTTTTCAGGTCAAAAAATTGAACACAAAACTGAAGCAAAATCGCCCAAATTTGCTCAAATGGTCCAGTGTCAAGTATCATAGCTATTTATGCAATGGATACATTTTATTTGATGTGCTAATACTTAACATTGCAAGAAGAGCGCTGGAAAGATTTTAACTATCAATTTTACCTAAATTCTGCATTCATTTTTCGTTCCGAAGAACGGTCATAACTCGGCGTCCAGAGGGCTTGGCAGATTTGGAAGGCAGATTTGGAATCACCGCTTAATACCCTTCAAAGCAGTATGGGTCTCATCTAGAAAGGCCACTTGGACTCGACACGGTTCCCTTGTTAGTTACTTAATCGCATCTCGAGATGAGACACATATATCTGGAATCAACTCTGAACGCTGATTTCAAATATGCTAATTCTAGCTGCGGCACAGCATTTCGAAGCAAGTTATTGATATTTATGTGCGAATTTGGCATGTCACTTAACATAAAGAATCCCTATAAATCGAAATAGTAATCCTAGATCAAACGAACACGCAAATTCCGCGCATACAAAAATCAATAACTCTTCAGAAATAATGCGTCCTAGCTAGGCATAGCATATTTGAACTCATCGTCCGAAGATGATTCCAAATATATGTGTATTACCTCGAAACGCGAATCTAAGTTACGTGACATCACTTGTTAGTAAAGAAGGAATCAAGAAATCCCGTTTTCGTCCAGCTTGAGAGATTTGCTGCCGGAGAGTTCTCCTTTCTCTTTGTCCCAACCTTGTACCCTAAAGTGGATGAATTGAGCAAGGGTAAGTATTCTTCTATGTTTGCTAAGGGACAATTAGTTCAAAACGAGACAATGCTGTACTCACTCCAGACGCGTTTGAACTGGGACATAAATCTACCAAAGCAGGATTTGGAACATTTAGACACAAGACGCAAATATCACTTCGAGCACAAGTGTGACTTGGATATTCGAAAAATTAAAAAAAATCATAACCTGCAGAACACAAATAATATTGACTGCAGTTTCAGGAATGAAGCGAGGGGTTACAATACGAGAATTTACTTCAACACATTCATGTGAATTAAGAGGACGACATGAGCTTTATCAAAAATAAGCAGCTTGAAATTTTTCATTACCGCTGAAACTGTGCATAATAGGACATAATTTGGAAAATCCATCTAGACAACTTTTATGAGGGTAATCCAGTTTTAGCGGTCTCGAGGGCTTCTTTATCCGCGACGCCATACTTCTAAGACTCAGCCATATCTAGCAATATGCTAAGCGAAGTTTGAGGGGGGGGGGGTCCATGTTGCCCACTGCCACATTTGTCAGTCGAAAGAGGTGTACATAAAGCAATGCGGCAATAGCGGCTGTGCTGTTCTTTACCGTCCTCTTCAATCTGTCATTCGCAGTCTCGCTTGTTCGTCCTTGCACTGCTGGAGCTGAAAGGAGATTTTTAGCCCTAAAAAGCGATAAATGCCCCAAGGCTTCAAGAAAATCTGTGATTAATTAGCAACTAAAACGAGCACGATTTTGAAGATCATCTCGCGATAGCCGACGAAGGTAGGAACATTTTGATCTTCAAAAAAATTTTCAAAATGTTTGATGTGGCTGGCGTGTATATACAAGAAAAGTTATAATACTTTTCGTAGAATATGTGCTGAGGCTCTGCAATTTCGACAGCTACATTTTTATTTACAGCATCACGCAGAGCCTTCAGGTGCTCTATTCAATGCATCAAACCTTCACATCGTCTTTGCTTTGATTTTGCTTGGTTTTGTTGCATTAATGTGGTGGATTCACAGGAATGTGCACATTGGAGGATCCAGTAATCATTTGAGGTCATTATTAAGCTTAGCGTTGTACTGATGAATCTTACTTCCATGGACCGTAGTAAGATCTGTCGAGATCAAATCATTCTGTTTCTCTTTCCTCTAATTGAAGGCAGTGGCTCGGCAAATCTCAAACTCGGAAAATTATAGCTTACCTGAGGTTATCCATGGCGTGTTGATGCCGAAAACTCACCTTAGAGTCCAATGACGAGAATGCGCATTCGACCCTCAAATTGAACGAGTGGAACGGTTTCCTCCAGCGTTAGAAATGCAGCTCGTTGCGGGAACCTTGACCTTGTGTTTAGTTATGGCATACCATTGCAACTGTGGAAGGGAAATAGCGAGCTCGTCCGAGTGCAGGTAAGAATGGCTTGCGCGCACGGATTCGAGGACAATTTTCTCGGCAGGAAGAGCATGTTGCGCGACCGGGATTGCTCTGCATGTATGTCAGTGGTAAGCAACTTGCAACATCAAATTGAAAATCGGTCAATCCTGCCGATCCACTGCCTTTAAGCAATTAGCGATGAAATACCTCTTTTTACATCCCTTGAAATAGTTGAAAATGACTTCCTTCAATAGTAATTGTTGTGGACGCACTCTATTGCTTGGCATTGGTGCACTAGTTCCGTATGTGGACATATTTGTTGTAAAATCGCCTGTTAAAACTACAAGACTTGGCACCGAAGCTTTCGAAATGTTTTGAAGTTTTTATGTGTTTATGTCATTCAGCCCTCGAGATCTGCCCCTTTGAGCATTCCGTTTCGATAGCGTGTCAAAACCCATTATTACACGAACTTCTTATTTCGTATTGTTCCTTTCTCTCTCAGTATGTGCAAACTCATTTCATGCATGTAGTTTAGTAATACTTTGTCAGTTGCACATCATCGATAAATTTAGTAGCTCGCATCGTTTTTGCTATTGGAGAATTCGCAGATGTTAGCATCAAATGTGAATCGCTCATAGTTTTTGGCTCTCAGTAGGATGTCGCGCGCAGCTGCGGCTTGATGATGCGATCGTACGCATGTAAGTAGCTTACAGTGCACACTCAGAGTTATTCACATTACGACTCTCACTCATTTGCATTAGCATTATTTCACTCATATATTGGTGGCCTTTTCCAGTCATGTCATTCCTATTTGTAGTTTATCATTTAGTAACATTAATTGTTATTTGTTCTATCCGTGTTTTGTTGTTAGTTGTTTCTTTGATAAGTTTAATTACCCAAGTTTGAGGTGTGCTCGTGTCCAACCGCTCAAGACCCGCGTGGCAGATAAATATTTGTGGTTTTGGCTGACGAGTTTTATTAGACTATTATAGTTCTGAGTATCATTTCGTCTCCTATATTCAAACGACAACTGGTGCATCGGCCGAACTGAGAAGGTACACATTATTGCGACAGAGACAGCTTCTTTTGCTTTGCTTGCACGGTACAGCTACGATTGAACAATAGAGATTCACTCTCACAGTTGCACAGCTTATCTATCAGCTACATCATGACGACAACAATAAAAGCATACAAAGGACTAGTGACAAAAAGGGAATGATGTGGCACTGAACTGGCTACAAGACTAAGCTCAGCTCCTTCAAAGGATAGAACAAGGAGGTATAGGAGCGCAACGTGAACGAGCCAAGGAGATTGCGATGGACACCACGACATGCGAGGAGTACATATATCTTTTAGAAGCTTCTGTAACCATGTGAACGAAAGCCTTCGACGGTTTACAAGATGCCACCGACGAAGAAGAAGATTAATTAGATAAGTACGTGGAGAAGGCACAAGGAACAATAATGAAGTTGCATGCACACCGGTCCCAACTGAGAAAGTGGCAGACTGACATCACGGGAAGCACGCATAGAGCTGAAACTGACGCTGTAAGCTCTTTAGCTGTCAGCAAACTTCCAGTTATACCCATCTCTACATTCACCGGAAAGAAGTGGGAGCGAGACAACTTCTGGACTTTGTTCAAAGCCAATGTGCACGACCAGAAGCTGACAGAGCTCCAAAAACTCAACTACTTGCTTTCCTCTTTGAGTGGAGAGACGAAGCAATCAATATCTCGGTTCTTCGTTTCGGCAAATAACTACGAGAAAGCCATTCAACACCTTGCCAAACGATACGGTATTAAAAGTGGCATAGTACGACAGCTGAAAAGGAATCTGAAGAGCTGTTCAGCAAGAGGACCAAGCACATTGAAGCAAAGGCAATTGTGGGACAAGCTAGCAGCAATAGCCAATCATTTGGAAAAGCACGAGCAGCACCTGAACAACGAACTAACTATTGACACTTTTCTGGAGAAATTCCATGTGCGAGAAGCAATGGACAAACAGTTGAGGAGCGAAGAGAGAAATAAGAATGGACACTAAACCAATGTCTGGACGTCGTTGATGGGGTCATTTCACGGGAGGAGCAGCTGAACGGCAGACTCTTGGCAGAATCGCAGCAGATCAAAATTCCGGCACCGATAAGCGTGAGAAGAAGCAACTTGTGCGAGTGCTGTGGGAGCAAAGGACACAGGTGGACAACCTGCCCGCATTTTGTTTGTGTGAAAAAATGCATGATTTGATGACTGTGTATGGTAAAAGGACGCAAAGACACTCGTTAACCCTGAAAAAAAATACAGCGAATGCATACGATGAATTTTATGCTCGCTTGTCACACGCCGACTCGTTTTGTAGACATTCTTGGGGTAAGACCAACCTACGGAGACTATAAACATGAGATTTTGGCTTTTGTACGTGGGTCGCAATTCATTGTTCTAGAAGTTATCGTGTGGAGCTCGCACTGCTCCATAAAATAATTCGACTACAATCTTTTTGAAACATTCATTGGGGTTCACCTTGTTGCTGCCATGAAGCAGCATCTTTTCCTTCTCATTCTAATGCATTGTAATTTTTTTCATGTGAAAGAGGTTGACATGATGGAAGAATAGTCAGTTGAATGCCAAGCGTGATTATTTGAAGAGGCAACGACTGAGGTTTATAATCTGACCTGCAGAATTAAGTAAGAGGCGTAGCACACTGCGCCAGAAACAGCCCCCCCCTTTGAGTTGTGTTCAATAATACGTCTTTTAGTTACCGTTTACCTACAATGACCAAGCATAAAAAAGGGAACCCATCATGCAGAGTGAGTGTCATTTTCATAGTTAGCATGCAAAGAACCAAACTGCCAAGTTTCTAGTTTCTGACTTTCCAAAAACTAGTCTAATTAGCTGAGACGGTCATTCTCAAGCATGGTCAATTTTGTGTTAAAGTGAGTTGTCCACCTTTTTGTACATAGCACTACCTACTTTTCACCCAGTATCAAAAATCTCACTTCACAACAACAAACTAAGGGATTTGGGTGCACAGCCAGAATCTCGGCTATCTCATTTTTAGTCTCTACCAGTTATACAGGGTATTTATATTTTGTATTGTATTTTATTTGTATTTGTATTTTTATTTTATTTTTATTTTTTATATTTTATTTGTATTTGTATTTTCAGCGATCATAACTAGGACGAATAAAGACGAATCAAGATCAAATGACTTTCGTGAAAACTGTTCAGGCTATCCAACAATTTATGAGTAAACCAAAAAATTCTCTGTGACAAGATTGTTAGGATCAAGCACAGCCCAAAAGAGTGTGTCAGCCACACCTTTTTTCAAGACTGTGCCACACCTTGGCAGTTCTGTAAAGAGAAAAGTTTTAGGAACGACGTTTATGTCATCTGGTACCCAGTTCGGTTACAGACTTAGCCTGATCGTCTCTATCGAATTTCAACTGCATAGCATGAGCATTGAAAACGAAAAACGATGACCTTTCCTTCGTAATTCAGCGAGATGATAACAACTTGCTGCGCTTCCGAGGGTAGGCGACGATTCTCTGAGTAGTTGATGGTGAATGTTTCAGACTCACCACCTTCTGCACAAGACCACTTTCTCTTCTTTATTCTTGTAGACGTATGTGACGACGTTATTATCGTATGAAATGTCGAAGTTCGTTCTTAAAAGAATTTCGCAGTGCAGTGAATTTACCGCACTCAGTTTGTTGTCCAGCAGCGGCACTCCATTTTGGGTTTTTTGATTTCCTGAGCCAGAATGTCTCCATTGGAGTACTCACGCTAAGGATAGTGGGACGATTGTACTAAATTTCTTTCGCCTCTTCCAATTATTCGTGTACAGAAGGCATCGAACTGCCAGTCCAAAAAGTGAGAACTATTGCAGATACTTGATTTGGAGCTCCGACTTTCGCCTTTCATCGGCCCCACTCTTACTCGAAAATGCTTGCGAGTTGAACTGTTAGAACATTTTGTCTCTCTTTGTCTCTCTCTCTTTGCTGACAGATGCTTCAACCCAAATATCAATTCTTGATTGAGTATACACTACATCGCTTACCTCGCGCCAATTTTTGATTGTGAGCGACCAACTTTCACTGGAAAGGCGCCGACATGAAATATTCATAATGACGCTGCAAAACAAAAAACTAAACAACAATGTTGTAGACATTTTAATGATTTTGCTTGGAACTGCTTACCGCCATGTTACATAGTAGACCTGCTCTATGCACATAGAGCAGGTCGCTTGCGAGCAAATCCCGCTCACAGTCAAATAGCGGCTTGTCGTACCCTAGGGAGGTCATGAGCTGCTGTAATATGCTTGACATTTTGACATGCCAAAAGGCAACGACATATTTATGACCTTAAATAATATGAGTAACTAGCTGGCTTGCCCGGCTCCGCCGGGCCTGCCAGCTAGACCCGTGTACGTATGTTCCGAATAGAAATTTTTATCTCTGAACCGATTGGGACCGAACTTTGCACACATACACTTCGGGGCAGGGAGCGTGTCACAGCCCACTTTTCGTTATCGATCGATGTCGATTTTACCGATTTTTTGCAAAATTCGAGCTAGAGGGCTGGGATTTGGCAGAGGGGGGTAATCGAGCATGCTGATCACCCCGAAGGGGTGATCAGCATGCTCGATTACCCCCCTGTGCAAAATCCTAGCCCCCTAGCTCAAATTTTGCAAAAAATCGGTAAAATCGACATCGATCGATAACGAAAAGTGGGCTGTGACACGCTCCCTGCCCCGAAGTATATGTGTGCCAAGTTTGGTCCCGATCGGTTCAGAAATAAAAATTTGTATTCGGAACATACGTACATACATACAGACAGACAGACATACAGACAGACATACAGACAGACAGACAAACAGACATTCAGCTTTATATATAAGATTCATACCTTACAGTCAATTATAACAAGTTTTATGAGCCAATTGGTACGTGCCATGCGGCGGACTTGCTCCATGTCCTTTTGGACATGGTCAATGGCCGCCCCTAGGGCCATAAGTGCATTAGATAGGGGGGCACTGACGTTGGAGTCGGGGGATAAAATAGAGCTCAGAGTTGAGCACGCGGTAGCATGTACGTCGGACATTGTTAAGGAATAGCATATTGCTCGGGCTCTTAAGCGACCTATGCCGCCAAATTTCAAACTTCCAAATATTCAAATTATGGCGCTAAGACATATTTGATCTACACCGCCTGCAGTCTATGAGGTTACATAAGAAATACAGTAAAATACTTTTTAAGAATATCAAATTAGGCTGGTCCATCCCCTTGCATTAAGAGCAGGGTAAAGCATAAGGCCTTTTTAATGGATGCAGCTAACACAGTTGAATTTGGAAATCTTATTACTAGATGAGAATAGATCGATGATATGCACCAGTAGTATTGGACTTACATCACAGCAAGTACTGAGTAAAATTAACAAGTGTTAATTTTCTCTAACTCCAGTGATGTAGAGGGTAATCCGAGAAAGAAAGTAACTGCATAAAATCATGAGTTAAGCAAGAAGCGAAAGACTATTAATGACCTAACTGTATGTAACAGAACTTGATAATTTTCGCATTTAAGTTGCAGTCATTCACTAGTAAAATTCTAAGGTTTGGATTCTTTACGATGTGGTCTTGGGGTGTTTGTGCCCAAATCACTATTGTTATCAGACACACACACACACCACACACACACACCACACACAAACACCACACACACAAAATATGTATATGTATATATCACGTTGGTCCGAAAGTTCGTTCGCACCATATTCAAAAAATCATAACTTCTTTCCATCACGACGATTTTGCACAGTTCAAATTTTATTAGAAAGAGTAAAGCATGTAGTTTCCAATAGTCCCCTGGAGACTTTCCAGCATGTTCAGATTGCACAGATAAAAATGAAAGAACGAAAACATCCGAAATTCGGATTTTTTGAGAAAAAATTCTAAAAATCTAGAAACTGCGCGATAAAATCCAGAAAAGCCATTATCCTAATTTTTCTTATATTTGATTACTAACTGAGTTAAGTTTGTGCTGATCGAGCTCTTCTTTCAAAAGTTATGATTTTTTTGAAAAAAAATGCCGAAAAATCAATTTCTTAGGAATTCTTAGGAAAGTGATTTTTCGGAATTTTTTTTCAAAAAAATCATAACTTTTGAAAGAAGAGCTCGATCAGCACAAACTTAACTCAGTTAGTAATCAAATATAAGAAAAATTAGGATAATGGCTTTTCTGGATTTTATCGCGCAGTTTCTAGATTTTTGGAATTGTTTCTCAAAAATTCCGAATTTCGGATGCTTTCGTTCTTTCATTTATATCTCTGCAATCTGAACATGTGGAAAATCTCCAGGAGAATTTTGGAAACTACATGCATTACTCTTTCTAATAAAATTTAAATTGCGCAAAACCGTCGTGAAGGAAAGAAGTTATGATTTTTTGAAAATGGTGCGAACGAACTTTCGGACCAACCTAATATATTGTTAATACATGCATAGGAAGCAAATAAGTACATAAATGCAAATATTACATAAATACATTCACAAGAATAGTTAAATAATAACAAGATCATAAGACATACCTCACATCTATTGCCTCAGATCGGAACCATTTTTTCAAAGCTGTGAGTCCCCTCAATTTTTAGCGTTGCTTTGGAGTACAGCACACCTAAATTCAGGCCTGGAGGTCAACTTGAAGTAGGAGAAGAAGCAACCGAGGTATGAAGAGCTTATTAGATCTTACCCTTGGAAAGGCTGATGATGTGAAGATTGAGTGGAAGATAGAGGTTCTTTTTCGAAGAAATTCATGGATGTAGATTCTACACTTTGAAAATGTTTTGCAACATTTTAGGATGAAGTAGGAAATTGGTGAAGGCCTAGTTTTGATCCTCCGAGGGTAAGCTAACATCTGTTTCTGTGGAAAATAGCTATCTGGTCGTTTCTTTTCAGTACCCATACATACCGCTCATGTCACAAAACCAAAAGAGCGTACCAAATTGCTGTTGGTGCAAATGCCAAGGAAAGGTCAGTTGAGTTCCATTTTTTGCTATTCTAATGCATTTATTAGGTTGATGCAAAAATAATGAGCGTTTTTATTTGCTTGCTTTAACAAAGCAACCAGTCTCAATCCAACAAAGGATAAGGGGTACTGTTCGATAGAGCAAAGCAAGCTCTACAAGATGGCACTCATATCTTTGCGCCATGCTCGATCCACTGAGAGTTCGAACTCAAAATCTAAAGATTTCCAAATGCTTAAAAAATCGAAAAAAATCAGATCTTCGTCCAAATAATTTCTACGGACCTCCCACTCTCTCACATCAATACTATCGATACCTGATATCCATATGTGCGATTGCCGTATTTTTTCCTTGACTAGAAACTGAGAAAACGAAAACTTCCCTGATTTTCTCAAAGCAATGCTAAGCCGTTTTTGCATATGTAGTTCTATACTACAAGCCTAGGTAAGCATAACTGTAGATTTTCAGCCCATTCCAAGCGATAGTTTTCGAGAAATAACGAATCCGGATTTTTTCGTTTCAGTTTCAGTGCTAAAATCGACATTTCTCGAAAAGTACCGCTCGAAATAGGCTGAAAACCTACAGTTACGCTTACCTAAGCTTGCAGTATAGAACTACATGTGCAAAAACGGCTCAGCAATGCTTTGAAAAAATCAGGGAAATTTTCGTTTTCTCAGTTTCTAGTCAAGGAAAAAATACGGCAATCGCACATATGGATATCAGGTATCGATAGTATTGATGTGAGCGAGTGGGAGGTCCGTAGAAATTATTTGGACGAAGATCTGATTTTTTTCGATTTTTTGGGCATTTGGAAATCTTTAGATTTTGAGTTCGAACTCTCCGTGGATCGAGCATGGCGCAAAGACATGAGTGTCATCTTGTAGAGCTGCTTTGCTCTATCGAACAGTACCCCTTACCCTTTGTAGGGTTGAGACTGGTTGCTTTGTTAAAGCAAGCAAATAAAAACGCTCATTATTTTTGCATCAACCTAATATAATGCATTAAAAATCAGAAAGGAACACATTTTTTTTCGTTTTGTGTTCATCAGTCAAGTAGAATAGAACTCTGAGTTCTCAGACCTCATTTTTTGTTATTGTAACAATACGTGTTCTTTTAAAGCCATGTTTGCTGTCTCGAAAAACTACAAGTTGGTGGCAGCCCCTCGTTATACGATGATGCTGCTGCTTATGGTCCTCTCATTGCTGGCATTCCTATGGCTCTCAGCAGGTGCGAATCATATGAATATGGAATTTTTTGTTCTTTTATCAGTTCAAACATCTCATCAAGTTTTTGATTTAAGTTCCATTTCATCTACAATGGTGTCGTGTAATATCTTGGTAAATTGCGTTTTGCATCGATACTCATAGTATCGAGTTATTTTCTTTTTTTGTGGAATAAATAACAGTCTGCTGCTCTGCCAACTTTGTTGTTCTTGTTCCATAATACTGTGATCTCAATCTCTTTGTACCCTTCAATTTATCATCGTAATACACTGCATTGTAAGAGCTTGTAAGAATTCAAAATTCAATAGGTGGAAAATCGCCGCCAATAGCCGATACGCAATGGATTACTTTTTTTAATGCAGACAACAAAATACTCGCACTTACATTTCTTCAATGTCTCAACTTCAAAAGCGCGAAGAACCAAAAGAGACGCTTATTTCATTGCCAAGTTGAATGCCTATGCTCAACGTGTACGCTGCAAATGTAGCACATTTACCCCGATCTACTCGGCAAAAATATGGGCCCGAAATGGCTTAACGTGGACCGCTCATGGAAAGTTCACAATGATATCTTTATAAGTTTAGGTTCCTCCGATATGTCCACGTAATCGTCTTCCCTAATTCGCTTGCACTGCCTATCAAAAGTCCCGGGTAGTTTATGTTTTCTGGCTCATTTTTTGCACTTGATAGCTTGGGTTGCGCGGAGTCCACTTCTGATGGAACTGAAGACTAGAAAAGAAACACACAATGAATAAAAGGCTAAAAGAGAGAATAAACAGACAAAAATAAGAACAGAAAGAAGGTTTACAACATGGAATCATTCAAACAAAAAAAAAGAAAACCGAAAATCAAAAAAAATTACCTTGGTCCCCATGAACACGGCCATGGCGTTCGAGATACGACCGAGTTGTTCTTGAGAGTATGAGTCCGACTAGAAACAGATTGAAAACTTTTTGGAAACAATTAAATTGCAGTTCTACCTGGAAGAGCTCAGAAATAGTTTTCTTCAGATTATTTACAGGAAGATCATTTACAGATGCTTTGTTTGCTGAAGACATAACGATTACTCAAAAAAAACAACGACAGATTCACCACCATACTCACGTGTTAGACCGAGGTTTCACGGAAAAACAAAACAACACGTAGAAAATAGTCGATGATAATGACGAACGAGCGTACGAATGCGTTAAATGACGTTTTACGAGAAACAAAGCAAAAGAATGTGATGATGCTTAGGAAAATAACGTTGTTATAGCAGATAAAGCATTGCATTTGAATGAAAGCACTTTAGAACGAGTAAAAGAGTATACGAGAAAGTGAGAGAGGAGTAAGGAGTGTAAGAGAGGATGAAACAGCTAAAGTTTCCGAAGATTTCAGCTAGAAAAACAATAAAACAGCTGTGGCGGTCGAATCGCGCGAGCAAACGGCGTCACGTGCGTGCGCCGCGCGGTGGTTCACATGGGAACCTGTTCGGGGCGCAGACGGTAGGTACAAAATATATGCCCTGATAGCAACTCCTTTTTGGGAAAATAGGATACGTACAAAACAAACTAAAGAAAATATAAATATTACCATACCTTACTTGGGAAAGATAATAGACAGACTCAAACTAGCTAAATTATGCAATAGCAGGAGAATACAGAACACATTAAAGGAGTACATCAATGTAGAAGACATAACAAAACTTGATGAAGTCAAAATAACAAGATATACTTTGAGCAAGCCTCTTGGATTGAAAGTTTACAACTATAACAGCTTCCTAAGAAAGCTAGACTACAATCTCATTACTTCCATTGAAAGAAGAGAATGCGAATGTATGAGACATGTAAAATTCATTGATGCATATCATGGGCATGTATGCACAAGGAATCTGGAATTCGTGAAAGACACCAAACTGAGAAACGTTTTAAGAAAGGGGACAACGTTTAGGAAGCACTCCTTGTTCAACAAGAAAGATGTGTTCTCGGTGATAAAAGATTTGACATCTCAACTAGTCGTGAAATACAAACGGAAGTTCAAAGATAACACATCCAATAACGAATTATTGACGCACATTTTGAATGAAAATGTTAAGAACAGAATCAAGTCAAAATTGTATAATATGTTCGATAAGGAAGAGATAGAAGAAGATCAGTTTGACACAGAAGAACTACGAAAAATACAGAAACACTTCACTATAACCCTTGTAGATAAAGCAAGTGCTACTTTTAGTTTTACCTGCAAAAAGTTTTATGTACAAATGATGAAAAGGGAAATGGAACCGACTAATACAGCAGCACGTACGAAAGCACTTCGTTACTAGAAGAAGATATTCGAAATAGACATAAAAGTATCCAAAATCTATCCATTTTCAAGCCGTAATCGCTCATTTACTTCGTAATACTAGAGATGATAATAAACGAGCTAAAGAGCAGTGTTTGGTGCTATTATGTGTAATGCGATTTTTTTCAAAATTCAACGCTTTGGTAAAATAATTCAGCAAAATTCTAAAGACGAAGCCGAAAAAATGCAAAAAAGTGCATTAATTTGCAAAACTTTTGCCCTATCAGGTGAATGAAAAGTCTGAAAATTAGCGAAATTAGACATGGTAAAATTGAAGGATCCTAGTATTCGGCAATTATCTCAGCGCTAGTAGAAACAGTTGCAACGAAAACATAACTGCTGAAAAAAGGAATAAATTCTGCATCGGATAGTATTTACAGCGCTTGTCTATCTTTATTCTAAGTGGTTCATGCATGGGCCTGAAAACAGCGCGAACTTTCGGAGAGACCTAGTATTCGTAATCAGCATGCTCGATTACTACCTTGTGCCAACTCCCACTTGTAGCTCAAACTTTACAAAAAAATCGATAACTTTGATATCGATCGATGGCGAGAAATAGCCTATGACACGCTCTCCGCCCCGAAGTGTATGTGTGCCAAGTTTGGTCCAAATCGGTTTAGAAATAAAAATTTCTACTCCATACATACGTATAGACAGACGGGCAGGCATACAAACAGACATTCAACTATATATATAAGATAAACCAAGCAAGTAAGTGGATAAAGTCACACGTTGAATGACGAAGTAGAATGAAATGGAAAAAAATGAGGAAATTTACTTAATTGAAGAATTACGGAGTGTCAGTATCTGGTTAAAGTATTTCGCAATCGTTGTGTCCTGACGTATCGATGATCTATCATGCTTTGCACCTTTGCAATATGGAAACGCAGCGACTGCGGCCCGTTACTCATCATTGTTTTCTTTTTTTATAAATGGTCCTGTTTATTCGCTTTTGACCTCGGTTTGTAAGCAATCCAGCCTCAAACTCTCTCACTAGAAGTTATTCTGCCATGCTTCCACAACTCGCCCAACCCCGTCCCTTGAAGCATAGCATACCCAGCCGAAGTGCTCACAGCTTTTTCCATGTTCTTCCAGAATCTTCCATCGCATTTACGCAAATACCAGCCAAACCTTCATCCTCTCTTTACTCCTTTAAGTGTGGACAAGAGAAGGAAGTTCGAAGCGAACTTCAGAGAGTAATTCCAAAATGGCATTAAGGCAAGGGAACGGAGTTAGTGGGAGACCTCCTCCCCCTTTCCCTCTCCTAAGCAATGTTCGGAAGTGGCGAAGATTCCCACAATGAACAAATCTAACAGGAAAACATGATTTTTAGAGTTCAATGAAATCCAGACAAAGAAGCGAGAATAAGAAAGTCTGACTTAAGTCAAGGATAAATGCATATCCCATTGTGCTGAGCAAAGATTTGAAGTCCCTTGCTTCGAGAAGGCTTCGCGGTCCCCCACTTAACCCTCTTTTCTTGAATTGCGCCCTACGATTTTATATCATTAGACTAGATAAGACGTAAAATTAATAAAATCGCGAGTTTTAGTGGGTTTTCAGCCTTCATCACAACGTTTGACACAAATCTCGACTTTTTGACAAAATTTATGTGGGAAGAATAGGACAGATTTAAGTACTGAACACAATGACTCAGTCGTAACTCGTGACTCTTGGTTTTGGAAAAGTAACAAATCCTCTGCCCGAACTCGCGTTGGGAAAGAAAATGTTTGAGTGGACGGAATTGAGAAAGATGAGCTTTCAATACTGGAAGAAGGTGCTCACCGAAGCTGCGGTGCTTGCAAGCCTGAATGAGAGCGCAAGGAAAGAAAGAAGTCTTTCAAATTCAAACACAAATTAAGCACACTCTACCAAATAAAATAAAATACAATCTTAACACAATTACATCAAAATATTGTAACTCTGGGATATTTTTATGCAGTTGTTTAAGACGTTGAATCAATCAGTCTTTGAAATCATTGAAATCAAATTTTGAATAATTCTAGGCATCTCCGCTACGAGTGAGTAAGGCGAGAAATGAGAAAGCAAGTGTTTTTAGGGCTCTGCACGAGCTGGCACCAGGAAGAATCTCAAACGAAGTCCCCTTTGATTTCGCAAAAGTACGAAGTACCCTTTGACCCTTTTTGCTCCCTCATTTCTCTGCACTTGGCTTTTTGTCATTCATTCTGGATGGGACTGTGACCCAACCCGAAATAAAGCACAAAAAGCCGAAAAAAATCGAAAAACCTCTTCTCCTCTCTCTCACTCTCCATTTTCCTACCCCTCCACCTCGTCCTCTCCAACCTCTTCTACACATGGGACAAACAAAGAAATAGAAAAATAAGAAAAAACGACAGAGATACGAAAATAATAAAGGAAAAGGACAAAGAGCCCACATCGAAAATAAAGGATTCGCGCGTCAGTTCACAAGGACGCGCTTTGCGATTAGAACAGAACTTCAATGAAGATCTTTTGAGGACTGTAAAAAAGCCTGGAGTAGTATTATGGAACGGTTTTTTCTCTGTATGACAACATTTACAATGAAATACTATTTATGTAAAAAAGTATGAAAACTTATGTGAGCAAAAGGTCGGTGCCAGCTCAGCTGGCACCCAGATGGCACGGTGCCAGCTTATACAGAAAAAAGTTCAGCGCAGCTCTCATTCACATAAGTTTTCATAAATTTTTGGGTCATAGTTCAGGTCCCCCAACGCGCATACACACACCAAATTTGGTGTCATATGATTGTGTTTTGTTTGTAAACAAGGCTTTTGTTTGTTTGGGGCAGGAAAATTCCCGCGCTGTGTTAGAACCGGCATGTCGGCGGCATACCGATGGCATGCCGTTGACATGCGAGTAGCATACTGCCGGCATGCTAACCCGCAAAAACGATACCTTTTCTGCTTTCAGCCCAAGAACGATATTCAGCTTGACCCGATGCCAGCTGTGTTGAGCCCTGAGTGCTTTCTAGGCCGCTAGAAAACACAACCATTGTAAACATAAATCTTAAGGCAACCTTTGTTCATGTTGATGTAATAGCAGAAGAGGTATTGAAGCGCCAGGAGATTCTTTGGGACAACACAAACCTCAGACTCCCTAACTCAAGTGCACGCAGGCTAGCGGCCTGGACAGAAGTCCGTCAAGTTGTCTTCGTCAAATGCGAGAAGGATCTTTCTGTAGAGCAAATAAAGCGCATTTGGCGCAAAGAAAAGCTTTCGTACGCGATCTTTTGCATTCTCAAGTACAAGAACAAAAATTCATGAATATGTTTTAGTTATAGGTCGGGCACGGAGGGGGGGGGGGGTGATCTAGAGTTGAAGCGAATCAGCAAGGGTTTTCCCTTATGACCGAAAACGATGCTGAGATTGCTAAAGCCCTTGGCAAACAAGCCAGTTTTTGTGGACTAAGAACTGCCGAAAGTGGAGTTTGTGTAAGTCACATGTCTTAAAGTTGGAAAATGACAACTAATGGCAACTTGTAGGCAAATGAACCATCTACTACACGTCCACCGTCGGCAGTGGAAGACAACACTTGTAGAGCTGAACTGCTGCACACCAAATGTCTAGAGTGCGTCTACACTAATTCCTATTGTACCGTGATTTTGCAGTTCGAGAGCGAAACTGAAGACGAAGAGTTGGCCCCGCCGCGGACAAAAAGTTGTATTCAACAGCAGTTTGATGAAAATAAAGAAATGCTTCGTGTAAGTAGAAGCAATTCTCATGAAAATTCACCAACTGTTTTGTTTTAGTCCCAACGTTTGGTACTGGAAAAACAACATGGGATGTGTATAAAAATGGATGTGTAACCGGGGGTGTCTAGTGGTATAACGGTTTTAACCGGATCGATAGACAACACGGATTGAACGACTAGCAATTTATCTCAGAAAAACGGCAACAAACAACAAGAACAATAATGCGTAACGTGAACAAGGCTTACAACGAAACGACGGGTTTTACCCTCTTGACCTCTTCGGCAGGCTTACTGGTTACTCTCTATCTAAGGGGGAGATCCGCCTCTCTTCGACGGAGTTAGCTCCCTCTAGCGCTTCTCCAGCGCGGACTCTGACTCCCCCCTGACTCTCGGTATTTATACCCTGCCGAAGGGGTCAGCGCGGGCTTTTCTTCCCGCCACTGGAGATCGGTAGGTCGGTAATCCGTGCCCTCTGACATCCCTCCCCTCCGGGGAGCCGACGTCCTCGGCGGCTGCTGCAACTTGCTGAGCTTTGCGTCGGGAACTCTCCTGCGGATGTCGTTATAGAGGTAGCGCGCATATCCATCCCTGAAGTAGTGTCGTATACCTGAAAAGAATTTTGGGGTCCATCTGCTTCTCTGTTCACGTTCCCACTTTCTCTTCTTGAAGGAGTCAACGTGAATAACTGATTTGGATTTGCCCATTTTTTCAGTACTGATTCAATCACCGCCCATACTTTTGATTTCGTTTTCCACACACCAATCTTCTTGAACAATGGTGGCGGCCACACGGATACAATCTTTCCTCCTTCTTCAAGGTATTTTTTGCATATCTGCAATGTCTCAATGATAGCCTCATCTTCCCTTCCTGGGTTCATGGGCCATACTATGATCCACATACGATAATTCTTCAAGTATTTCAACGCTTCTTTGAGTTGACTGAATGATACTGCCACCTTGATCAGTACTCCACTCTGTTTCAGCTCAACTTCCTCAAATGATGTTGCACATGTCGGTGCAATAAACGCAGCAGGACGTTCGAGCTCAGAACTTTGTCCCTTCTTACTGCTTGTCTTCTAAACTTTGACTCCTTTCTGTGCCTCTCCGCACATTTTTCGATCACTTCTGGAAGGAGTGTCCTTTTTGCTGCCCTTCTTACATGTCGACTTCTTCCACTTGCGCTCACAAGCTTCCCCTGGCCAGATTCCTTTGTCTGCTTTGACATCTCTTTTTCTCTCAATGAAAGCTTTCTTGTTGACAGTTACAGACCTGTCCTTCACTGAGATAAATCTGTTCACAATCATGGTACCTTGCTGGATCTTCGCTCTCACTGAGGCGGTGTTACTCTTCTGTAGAGGCCCCATCCTATCCTTTGCTTTTACTTTGACTTCAGGCTTCTTGTGTATTACTACTTCCACCCCTAGACTCTTCAATGCATTTGTGCCAATGAGCACTTCCTCATTCCTGTCGTCCGAAACATGAAAAGCCACTTCCTTCTTGCATCCTCCTTCTAGTTCTACTTCTACTTTTACACCTCCGAGAAAGCTCATCATATGGTTGGATGCATCGTATACGCTTCCTTCCGCAATGTCGAAAGTCTGAAGTGACTCAACATCGTAGCGTCTGTTTCTGGCTTCTATAAGCACGCTCATGGTAGTTTACTTATCTCTGAGCCCGTGTCTAGAAGTGTCGAAACTTTCCTTCCCAACATTCTCGCTTGAGTCAACGTTGTCCTGCCAACAATTCCATAGGCGTCGGGTTGGGAGCTCTTTACAACCATGTTCCGGCTCCTACTTACCATTGATGTCACTCCATTCGAAGTCTTGATGACGCCTTCCTTCTCCGTTTTCCTGTACCTACAATCTCTCATCACATGTCCAAAGTGACCGCATTTGAAGCATCTCTTTTCTTCATGATCCTCATCATAGGCACTCGAGCTACAAGTTGGCTCCTGCCTTCTCATGCCAACTTCCTTTTCGCCTCTCTCCGCTGAGCTGCTTCGACTTTGGGTAATAGCTGGCACATAGCCTTCATTTCTATTTGCTTTCATCCAGGACGGAGCTTGCTGTTCACTCCTCCTCTTAAATTTGCAAAATCTTCGCGACTGTTCGATCTCAATCGCGACTTCTTTTATCCTGTTATATGCCTCAGCTGGGTCCACCTGGTGTAGGGTCCCCACCAGCTGTACGTATTCCGGCCATAACGTCAGATTCTCCAGCAGAATCTGTGCGTACTCCATCGATCTTTCCTCAATGGTACATTGAGGATTGGCCTTCCTTGCTAGGTTCTCGAGGGCGACACAGAAGTCTGCAACCTCTTGGCCTGACCTTAAGCGCATGTTCCTTAAGGCTGTCAGCGCCTTTAACCTAGCTGCTGTGGAATCACAGGCCAGTAGTGAAGCCATCTCCCTCACTACTCTGTCAAAGCCTTGCTGTCTTACTCCCATGGGTATGCTCAGAAATAAGGACTTTGCCCTTCCTTCCAAGTGTTCATCACCTAGGATCTCAATCAGCAACTGTTCATCCTGGACTATTGTAGTGTACTTCCTTTTGAACTTTCGAATGAACCTGCCAAAGTCTTCATCCTCATAGCCCTTGAAGACTCCAGGATCAGCAAAAGTCATGCTCTGAAAGTAATTGAGCAACTGATCTTCCACACCTCGATGATTGTCGAGTGGTCCGACATCCGACCCTCTCAACACACTGCCTGCATGCAGAAGATTTGACTTCCCTGCGGCACATGAGCGGCATCGCTCCGTCTTCATCACTTCGGTATTCTCAATACCGTCGGTACTTGCACGCAACCTCTCAGGTTTTCTTCCTCCGCATGCATTAACCTGCCGTGACTCAGAAGGTGTAGCTTCCCTCACTGCGACTGCCGTTGCTCTGAGACCGAGTATCTGATTTAACTCGGCTGTTAGGTTCTCCAGCCTACCTAACACTGTGGCTACCTTAGCCTCCAACTCTTCTTCAAGTGGCAATCCATCAACCGGTATCCTACATCGGCTAAGGACCTTGCTTACCATCCCAGGTAGCATTTCCACTTCTTTTCTGATGATACTTATCTCCTCCATCATCAAGTGTGCTTTTCTCTCATGGATATCATCTGCACATCTTTGCTTCTGATCCATATCCATGAACATGAATGTACTCGGCAGCGAAATGCTTCGCCTTGCCTTCACATTCATCGGTAATCAACGCCGCACGCGAAATCGCGCGTCTCAGCTGATCGAAGAAAGTTAATCACGATCGATACTCACGCCTCTATTAAGCGTGGATAATTTGATCAATAATCATTTCTTTCTTATATCTTAACTGCCTGCTCTGTATGATATGATAGAGACTTTTTCCAGCTGATCTTAGATCTGGCCCTCTTGGCCTGTTACTTACGTCACCTGCTTGATGACGTATAGATTTCCCACCTTTTTGTTCTTTTGGTTTCGCCTCCTTGGCCTGTTCTACGCGTTCTCTGCTGTCTTGCCTCTGAGACAGTCAATATCAGTCGCCCCGTGTGTATTTCAATCGATCCAGGTCGGCTCGGCCCCCATGTAACCGGGGGTGTCTAGTGGTATAACGGTTTTAACCGGATCGATAGACAACACGGATTGAACGACTAGCAATTTATCTCAGAAAAACGGCAACAAACAACAAGAACAATAATGCGTAACGTGAACAAGGCTTACAACGAAACGACGGGCTTTACCCTCTTGACCTCTTCGGCAGGCTTACTGGTTACTCTCTATCTAAGGGGGAGATCCGCCTCTCTTCGACGGAGTTAGCTCCCTCTAGCGCTTCTCCAGCGCGGACTCTGACTCCCCCTGACTCTCGGTATTTATACCCTGCCGAAGGGGTCAGCGCGGGCTTTTCTTCTCGCCACTGGAGATCGGTAGGTCGGTGATCCGTGCCCTCTGACAGATGAACTTTTACATAAGATTTCAATCAGACTCGAAATCGTTGGGAATGGCCGCGGTCGACATGTCGGGGATCATTATATAAATGTAACCTCTATGTTAGGCGGGGATCTTGATGTTGAGGACTCAATTATTTGATGACAAATCGCTTCTCATAGGATTAGGATTCTGTTGATTTCATAGGCTAGGATTTGAATTGTTAGTT